ATTATATCCTCAGTAGAAGTCTGCAGCACCCCACTTCCACTGTACACAGTATGAGCAGAGTTCTCCTACTGAGTTTCCTGAGGGTTTGCCAGAATTACATCAAGACCAACTGAAAGTCAAGTTCAGTGGCCTCACAGATATAATCCCACACCTGAGTTTTTGCTTCAGCTACTTCCACAGCTCAGGAACTCAGTATTCCTGCTGTGGCAAGGATTGCCAAAAAAAGGTTGCATGATGGGTTAGGATAATGTTTTCTAATAAAAGCAACAGGAAGATATTATTTTAAGTGTTTTGTGCCTGTTTTTGTTTTGTTTTGAGCAGTACAGTATGCTTTTTTTTTTTTTTAAATGTTGGACATATTACTAAATATAAGCATTAAAGACTGTTTGTTTAGGATCTTGACTGCCTTTCTGCTGATTGCTATGTAGTTAGCAGGATTAAGATGCTATACAGCAGCATCAGCAAAAGTAGTATTGGATAAATATTAATAACCATTCAGAAAAACCGTAGAGTATCTATGGACAGACTTGAGACTTAATTACTACTATAGTGATGATGTCAGAAATCCTGCTTGGACTGAGACCTTACTGTTCCCACATTCCCACCCTTGGGAGCCAACATGGGACTGAAGGCCACATGACAAAAATACTATGATGACCAGATTTCTAATGTTTCTAAGGTCTCCCAGCAGAATTGGCTTACTTGTTTTTCAGCTGTTTGTACAGTAACTTACTGTGTCCATGGCTGCAGCACACAGAAGATACTGGGTCAGGTTTAGGCCACACTGGACATCACTTTAGCCAAAGAGGAGGTCAGAGAAGTTGGTGAAACGCTGGATGTGGGGTATGAATATCTTAAAGGGACAAACATCCCCATCTGCTGGATAACCACAAGAAGTACAAATAAATATCTGTCCTTGACCAACTAGAATCAAAGACTTATTTAAAATGATCTTCACTCATTAAATGCCTAAAAATATACTTTTTACACCTCAAGTGTACTAAATTGTAAATTAACTGCACTGTATATCATTTTTACACTTCCATTAAACACTTAAAGAGCCCTAAATACACCACTATGTGCATACACAATGTGACTATAGGGTTTATGTGTGTGATTTTTTTTCTTCTTTTATTTTTCTGCCAACTGGCAGAATGTTGTACTGTTGCATTTTGGGATTATTTTGCACACGCAAATTGTGTGAGAAAAAATAAATCAATTTGGAAGAAAACATTCCCTGTTCTCTGGACTAAAGAAGAAAAAGACCACCCAGCTTGTTAGTAGTGCTCACTTAATGCATCTCTGAGCTTTACTATGTTTGTCAAACCTTTAGACATGGCAGCTTGCTCATTTGAAAAGGTACCATCAATTCTGAAAGGTATATACAAGCTTTAGAGCAACATATGTTCTCTTCCAGATCATATCTTTTTCACTGAAGACGTTATTTTAGCAAGATAATCCTAAACTGTACACTGCATCTATTATAACAGCATTGCTTCATAGAAGACTCTTGGTGATGAAGACTTGCCCCAACCTTTTTTTAAGATGTGTGGACAATATCTTTATAAATATCTTTCTCAGTTTTAACATTTCATATCTTTGGGCTTAATAGATTTCTAAATTGTTGCATTCTGTTTTTACTTACATTATAGTCTCTCAGCCTTTTGCAGCAGTTTGACCAGGACGGACATTACATTAGCAGTTCGCAT